GGTCGGGTGTGCACGGCGGTCGAGACCGGCGGAAAGCCCGGCAGCGCCGCGGCTCGCCACCACCGCGCGCGAGGTGGCGAGGTTCCACTGTGAGAGCTGAATCGCCGCGTTGCCGAGTGGGATCAGATAACGCCCCTGTGCGAGGAGGGGGGCATGGGCGAGATCGCCTGGCATCCCGACAAAAGGATGCGCCCCCGCGCGGCGTCCGCCGGCGTTGTCGACAAAAAGGCAAAGCACATCCGCGCTAAACACGGCGTGGCAGGTGTTGGGCTCGCCGTCCTCCTCCTCCTCGGAAGGCGGTGGTCGATGGTAACCACTGACCTCCCCTGTTTTTTCCCGTGTGGCGAGCAGAAGGGGGCCCACCACGGGCGGGAGCGAGAGATCGCCGTCGGCGCTGATATGATACGATCGAAGGGATCCATCGCAGCGGAGGTGCCGTAGCGTGTACCCCCGCCGCTGCGGGGCCGTCCACATTACGCTATGGTCCTCGCACACCGCGGCGAGCACCACGCTGCCGTTCCAATGCTCGTTTTCCCGTTCCCCGTCCTGATCTTCGCCGTGGGGTTCGCTGCCGTTTAAACACCAAAACACGGCGTGGGGTTCGCGCCCGGTGCAGTCCGCGTCGACGCGCCATAACACTCGCGTGGCGCGGCCGTGAATCTCGCGGTTGCAGGTCGCCCACTGGACATGACGGCCGGCCGCGACGAGCGGCGCGCGATGCTCCGGTCGAATACGGGAGAAACGACAGGCGCCATCGACGGAAGGGGCCGGGGTGGGCAGCGCGAGATGAAGCGCCGGTGGGGTTTCGTCTTCTTCCTTGTTTTCCTCGCCTTGGCCGGGGAAGGGTCCCTCGGTGGGATCCCCCTGCACATCTTCCTCCTCGTCTTCAAAGCGGTCGTCCGGGGGGAGCTCCTCGTCGAGCTCCAGGCAGATCCGGAGCATCTCCCGCCACGGCGGCGGCGGCTGGGCGACTGGGAAGGACTGCACCACCCACGTAAACGGCACCGCGCGGTGAATCGGAAGTGAGGAGGCAGGGGAACCCCCCTCCCCCTTTTTTCCATCCACCTCGTCATCCACCACCCCCCCGCCGTCATCCGCGAGGAGCTCGGCCGCGGAGACGAACATCGGCGGCGCGCCGGTCGCCCGGCTAACGGGGGCCGGCCACCGCACGTCGAACGTCGCGCGACTCGCGTGAACGGTGAGGGAAACGCGACGGAGGAGGCACCATAGGGTGAGCTGCACGCCCACCACCGCCACCGCCAGCCCCTTTTCACCTTCCCCATCCACGTTTCCACTTTCTCCGCGTAAAACATCCCCCATGGGCAGCCACGACGAGGAGGTGGTCGTGAACTTAGCGAACACGCGGCGTCGCTCGAAGTGCGCTCGGCTCTTCACCACGATAAGGGTGTTGATCGCGCTGCGGGAACGCCAGAGGTGGCAAGGGGTTTTCGTCAACCCGGTGATTAGGCGGGGATGAGGGACGTAGCTGTTGTAAAGATGCAGTGCGTTTTTTACCTTCTCCGTGTACTTCGACAGCGTCCAAGCGGTGAAAAACATATCCCGCTCCCCCAACCCGTCCTCTCGCCGAGCAGAACTATGTGGAAAGAAGGCGGAGTCCACCTTTGTGTCATCCGCATCGCACGCGTCGGGATGGGATGCATTCATCCAGGGTTCGTTACGTGTTCCCCTTAGCTTTGAAAAAAGAGTTGGCTTTGCCTCCTCTGTGACTGGGTTAAGCGCGACGAAGGTGTTCATCGCATCCGCAAACGACAGCACGGTGCCGTCGCCGAAAACGAACTCCGCCCCGCCGTCATCCCACGCGCACGCCTGAACCACCCTATCGGCGTGCTCCATCGCATTAAAAAAATGATGCGGGCGAAAAGATGCATAGCCAGTGTGAGGAAAGGGAGAAAAAGAAGAAGTACATTCACCTCTACTTTCCTCCATCGGCGCAGAATGAAGTTCGTTTATCCTATAAGATGCCATATATAAGCTTATGGAATCCTTTCAGCACGTCCAATCTAGAAGAATTTCTATATATACTTCGTTTTTTTTGTTTTGGCTTATGCGCCTAGCTTATGGATATGGTTCTAATAATCTTTAATTCAATGGATCTATGATTTATTTTCTAAAGTACCTTGCACCCCGAACGGAATAAGTAATATTCCTAGAATGAAAAAGAGAGCAGAGCGCAGAATGTGAATTTATCATAAAACGAAAGCAAACAGCACAAAGACACCTCACTTTTCGAATTCCTAGAGCAACTCCGTACATTTGAACATGCAAAATAGTTGTCCAAGCACACTCCACCTCGCATTCGAGCTCGTGTCATAAAATTCAATTTAGGCTAGAATCTCAGATTCCAGAAGAACAGTGCTGTCTTAGCAATTAAACTTGACTTTTTTGCATTCATATTTTTTTCTCAAGGAAACACAATTCATTGTCAAAGGGAAAACAAAATCAAGCTTACGTTGTATTAATAAAATTTCGAAAATTAATTAAGCCTTTCATCTATTATTATTATTATTCCTTTTTATTATGGCATTGATTACACTATCACACACGGCAGCATTTCTCACATGGATTTAGCTAATATTTACCATTTTTTTTGGACACAAAATCGACACGGGAAGGGTTGCAGAACTCTCTCCACAGGGAGGGCGGCGAATCGGACCTTCTACAGGTTGAAGTCGAAAAACAGGACCCGACAGTGCTATCAGTCGTACTTAAAGTACTGGATGTCGGGAAGGAAAACGGAAGAAAGCAAAACAATGGAAACCAGAAACTTCTCGAAGCAAGGAATCTAGTTTAACTTGGCGAGTTCTTCGCCTCACGCCTCGAAATAAATTTCGCAACGATAGTCTCTTCCCCTTTTCTTCTGGCGGCGATTTCATTCGCCGTGTTTAGGCACCTCCTTAGCTAAGCCTCTCATCATCACCCCTTCCTCTTACTTTGGCACTTTCAGTACTTTTATGAGTGTAGCGAGCAGCACGACATCATCCTCCGTGAGCTCGTCCCTGAACTTCTTCACCGCATCGACAGAGGGCCGTGTGATCTTCGAGATGATCACGTGTTCCTTCCCGAAATGCCGTCCGAACGTCACCCCGGTGGCGCTCGTGTTGATCTTCACGGAGAGCTCCATCCCGGGCTTTCCGATCGGCACCGGCTTGTTATCCCGCTCCATGCTCATCACCTTGCCGATCTCGACGGGGGTATCCCCGCGCATCGCCGCGAGCGGCGTCCCCACGCGAAGCTGCCCGCGCTCAACGCTCACGGGAAGAATAATCGGATCCGTCATGTGAATCGCGTCGTCGATGATCTTCAGACGAACGGGAAAAACGGCAACGCTACGCAGCCGTTCCTTCTCCTGCGCCTCGTAGTTTTTGATGTACTCGGTGAAGCGATCGAAGAGGTGGTAGATCACCTTCGCCTCGAAGATGGTGATCTCGTTCTTCGCGGCGACCTCGCGCGCCTCCTCGGAGACGGTGACGTCGAAGGCGAGCACCACCGCAAACCGCGGCTCACGACGCTTCATCGAGAGGACTTGCACGAGATGTCGTTTATAAATCGGTCCGATCGCAGCATGCCCGACTTGAATCTTCATATCTTTTAAGAAGGAAAGCAACGCCTCGAGACCGCCGAGGGTGGAGCTCTGCACGGTAACCCCGATCCCATCCTCGCTGAGCTGGCTGCGAATTGTGGTGGAGTCCCGCATGACCAGCTCCGCGACCTTCTCTTTTTCTTCCTCGGAGTGATACACAATGAGGGGGGTTCCCGGAACGACATTTTCGAGGTCGATCGCGGCAATTTTCACCCCCATCGCCGCCTTAATCATCTTGTGATGGGTGTACTCCGCCTTCACCCGCATCTCCCGAAGTGGTTGTGGTGTTAACAGGGAGCGAATTTGCGTAAAGATGGGTTCGGTTTGCCCGCAAAGGCAGATCCGATCCCCCTCATGCAGCTCACCGTTGATGAGGATCACGTCGATGGTGAAGCCATACCCGGTGATCGGCTTCACCTCCAGCACGGTGCACTGCAGGTCATCCTTGTACGTCACCTTACCCTCCATGAACTGCTGCACAAGCTGGATTTTAAGAAGAATCAGATCGGAAATCCCCTCCCCGGTGTGCGCCGAGGTGGGAACGATGGAGACAACCTTGCGGAAATCCGTGTTTTTGTAATACAACTCCGAGTTGAAGCCCTCCATCGCGAGCTGTGTTTTAATCTCCGCCACGCGCGTATCGAACTCGATGTGGACGCCGGGGGATTGTTTCGCGAGGGTTTTCTCGATATCCTCGTTCGGATGAGCCTTCCAGCCGTAGAGACGATCCACTTTGTTCACCACCACGATAAAGGGGCACTTCTTCTCGCGCAGCAGGCGGATCGATTCGCGGGTTTGCTGCTCCAGCCCGTGCATGAGGTCGATGACGAGAATCGCGATATCGCAGAGGCTGCTGCCGCGGTTGCGCAGATTTGAGAACGACTCATGCCCGGGCGTATCGATGATGAGGAGGCCGGGAACATTGAGTTTGTATTGATACTTTTCGTTAATCTCCTTCGTCGCGGCGACGAGGGCCTCGCGCGGGAAAAAGGTGGCGCCGATCTGCTGTGTGATGCCGCCCGCCTCACCGCCTTGGACGTTGGTGGAGCGGATGCGATCGAGCAGGCTCGTCTTGCCGGTATCGACGTGCCCGAGAACGCAGCAAATCGGCGAGCGCAGATCGATCACGTTTTCCAGCACGCGATTTTCCTCCTCCTTTGCCTTTCGTTCTTTTTCACGCTCCTCACGGCGGGTGGTGCGCTCCATTCGAATCCGTTCGTTGTTGCAGTGGCGCTTCCTCCGGCGCTCGTCGCGGTCCTCGAGGGCCTCCCAGTCGTCATCGCTCAGCTCGCCCTCCGATTCCGTCAGCTCCGTCTGCTCGCCATCGCTGCTTTCCTCCTCAACGGGCTCTGGAACTGGTGGGGCGTCGGCGTTCACTTTGATGCCATTTTGCTGTTTCTGCTTCGGCTTCTTTGGTACATTGGCCTCGTTGGACTTCTCCTCCGCCACCTCCTTCCGAATCTTCTCGACGTCCGGAAGAATGAAGCCGGCAGCCCGCATTCTCTCAATCGCGTCTTGTTTTTGGTTCGACTTCTTTTCCTTGCGCTGCAATCGCATCTCCTCTTTCTGGCGTTCGCGCTCCCGGGCGCGCTGCTCCTCCTCAAACTTGAGCTGCTCCTTGGCTAGGCGCTCCTCTTCACGAATGCGCGCCTCTCTTTCCTCGGCTTCCTTCTTCAGACGCTCTTCTTCCGCCTGCCGCAGCTGCATCGACTGCTTGATCTGAGCGATCGTCAGGGACGGGTGGCCCTTACGGGCACCAGGCCTCGGTCCAGCTTTAGGTGGCATGATATGGTTATATCTTCAGCACTTTCGGTTTTTCAAAATCGACTATCCCTTCCGTGATTCGAATATATATGATTATATATTCATATATATTGGTACACTTTTTAAAAGCAGAGTGTACTTGCGCTCAATCAATTGAAGTGAATCTTTCTTCGTACTTCTTTTGAAACCGTTGTGAATATAACCAAGCGATTAAGATGTATAAGACAAACTCCTCCGTTTAAAAATACAAACTAGCTAAATTGTGATCCCTTCGTATTTGACTGTATTCGTTTTCACTACCCACTGAATATAGATTATAGATTAAAACTAAATGCCTAAAAAAGTAATCGGTTTTCTACTGTGTCGGGTTTTTATCATTAGAAACACTGACTTAAGGGACGAAATTTTAAGCTACGAAATAAAAAATCCGTATTGGTGACTTCGGTGTATGAAGAAATATATAATTTTCGCGTGATGATGAAATTATTTACTGCCTCACCAAATCTCGACGTCACAATATAGAAGCACAAAAATTGTAAAGCTTTGGCTATATAAAGCAAGTGTTGTAGCTGGCGGAGAGTGGAAGTGGTGGTGAGAAAACAAAAACAAAATGATTGAAATTCATTTTAAACCATGCCGTAATAATTATCCAACAAGAGTCTCGGTGCTAAACATACTTGCATGTGAATGATTCGTCTCGCTGAAAGGTGAGTTTGTAATTCAATGTTGGAGTTTTTCTCTATTGTCACTTACAGTTAACAACACCCAGCAGGATTCATATTCCAATATATTATTAACAAAGCACGATAAATAAAAAGGCAAATAAACACAGTTTTACGCGAACTTCTACAGATATCAATGAAATTTATCAATGTGTTCCTTTAAACCGAAGGCTACACATTAACTAACGGAAATACAAAAGTGTAGGGAAAATGCGCATAGGTACTGGTGTGCTAATAAGCATTTTCCGCATGACCATCTTATGAAGCTAGTTTGAGTAACCATAATCGAGGCGGCGAAAGCATAAATAACAGAAATGGACATGTATATATATACATATATACATCTATTCTGATTTTCCGGAGTAACCAAAAGTGCTACGAACACGCACAAAATGCCGCCTAACATCACGTGATGCAAGACCATGGTATAACATGCTAAAAGGAGAGAATTGACATCACCCTACACTTCATGCGTAGCCATTTTAGTTTTATATATTTTGTTGTCACCAAACGCAAGCTTAGTGAAACTGGTTACCTTACCGTAGTGGCAGGACGCCGTTCCACAAGTTGGGCCGTACGGCGATGGCTACCACGGGCGTATCAATGTTAGCAAGGCTGCGGGAAGAAACAGGATGACCTCTTCTACCAGCGATTTGGAAACCCACTTTGCGCTCCCCAGTTTACGAGCCTGTGTTTATTATCATCATTATCACCACTGAAAGGGGTCACACTCATTGTGTGATGTCATCATACGCGCAGTTTTAAGAAACGATCAACTTGAAGAAAAAAGCACCCCCCCCCCTCCCCCCTACACACACACAAAGATACTCAACACCAAGTCCACCCATAATCGAAAACTATTGAAAAAATGAAGCCGCTGTGGGCATAGCATGCGCCATGAGGTCCTCCATCCCCTCCTCCAGCGCCCTCGCCATCGTATTCCCGTAATCCCACAACTCATCACTGAGGGCCGCGACGTCGACCTTCTCCGCGCGCTGTGGGAGCTGCACGACCCACTCATACTCCAACCGCATCCCTTCATCCCCGACCCGGGTGATGATGAGCGGGGTCCGCCGCGTCTCGACGAGCTGCAGCAGCACCCCACACCGGGTCCGCCGCTCCCACTTCCGGATCTGCCGCTCACAGCAGTAGACGACGTCGCCGAGTTCCGGGCTGAGGACGGAATGGACGGTGTCCCGCGTGGCCCGGAGGATGTCCGTCTCCAAGTACGTCTCCACGACCCGACGTCGGATCGGGTGTCGGACCCGGACGAGAAGCCGAAGGTCCGGCATCCGGCCCCGCACGTAGTGCGTCACCAGCAGCCGGTCCCACGGCCGGTTGAACTTCACACACTGCAGCTGCGCGTTGAGCTCGGCGTCGAGGAGCTCCCCGTTCCGCCGGATGATCGTCTTGTAGCTACACGTCGTGTCCTGCGCGAGCTCCAGGCCAAGCGTCGTCGCCAACGCCTCCATCGCCGCGGTGTTCGACTCACTCGCCACGGCGAACCAAACATACGGGTGATGGGTGTAAAGGTGCCGCTGCAACGTCCAGATCGGGAGGACGTTCCGGTTTTGCTTCGCGACCTGGCGGTAGTAAAGGACCTTGCCGGCTCCGATGTTCAGCTCCCCACTCACGTTCATGTTCCAGATGTTCGCCAAACACCACTCGAAGACCTTGCGAAAGCGCTGCCTGTTCGACTCGTCGACCTCCACGCGGCGCACCGTCAGCGCGGCGTTATTTTTGCTCTGGCCAGGGAGCTTGGAGGGGTCGATGTGGTGGAGCTGGACGTCGCTGGAGACTTGGCTGTGGAGGAGCTGAAAGGATCGCGGAACGAGTGGGTCGTAGGCGGGGCCGAGCTTCGTCGGCGCGACCTCGACGTAGTCGGCATGCCGACGCTGCTCAAACCCCGGTTCGGCGCCCCAATCGCCGTACTCGTCGGCCTCGTCGAGCGCCTCCTCGCCCTTGTCGTAATCGGCGATCGTCACCACCGTTCCGTCGCTCTGCACGTCTTCCTGTTGCACGGCGATATTCGACGCCTGCTCGGCCGCGAGAATCTCCTCCACCTGCCTCACCAACGCGCTCTTCTTCGACTGCGGATCCACCCCTTCGACCTGGCAGTGCGTCGTGAGGAAGTAGCGCAGCTCCGGCACCGAAAGGGAGAAGAGGTTGCCCTCATTCCACAGCCCCCAGATGAGGTTGTGCGTGATATGCGCGAGCGCGCCGTCGTCGCCGGCAGGGGTGCTGGAGGCGACCGAGGCCGCATTTTCCCCGTTCGAAGGATCCGCAAAATTAGACGACGACGCTTGCGGTGTGGAGGCGCCGTAGCATCGAAGGGAGGCCACCGAATGTAAGAGCGCCCGCCCGCCAAACCCTCCACGGAGGTGAGCTGAACGACCTACAGCCTCCTGGTAGATCCCACCGTGCCTCGAGAGGCTGCTGAGGAAGAAGGAGGAGCAGAAAAGCACCGGCGTGGGGCGGCACCCTAACGAGAGAAAGGACGCCCGCGAACTGAGGTTGCTACGACGCATTGGACCGCTTCACTTTTTCCTCCTCACTTGATATCGCGTATGACGATTGTTAAAGCCGTTGCTCTGTGCTGGGCTGTGTTTCTGAATACGTAAAGAAAGTGTTGAACTTTCTCCTCCAAAAACAAAATATCACAAAGTTTCTAGCGAATGTATCTGTCTATCCACAATTTATGGACTTTTGGGTGCTACTGTATCCTATGGCTATTTTACTCATATTTTTTTCGCGTGGTTTGAAAAAAAAAAGGAATCAACGTTTATAGTAGTTTAACGCAAGGAAGCATCAAATTAATTGTGAAGTGTCAATATGTGAAGCCTACATTCATTTACTTTTTGACGTTTTGAAGCAAAAAAACGCAATGTATTGCAGCACATGGATAAATGTAATGAAGCAATATCTTTCAGCCAGCCATGCATTGCTAATAGGTCTTGAATTGTCCTCTCACACACACAAAAAAGAAGTGCACACACAAGAGAGAGGAAGAAGCCATTTTTGTACGTCAGTGGCAACACCATCGAGTGAGTGTTCCCCAACCCTGACCATTGCTCCCAGATAGGCAAGAACACTTAAAAGCAAATGCTCTCCCTAATGACTTTTTCCGACAAACAAAGGCCCTTCCTTTTTCCGTGAAGCCCATTGGATCTGCAAATGAGAAAAGAGGAAAACAAAATGGCAGTGCCTGAGAGAGAAGAAGAGCGCATGCTTACTGCTATTCTCCTGTGATGAATCAAACCATCATTTGAGTAACATCGCACAGAAGACAGGAACTGTGAACGAGTTTAATCCTTTTCCTTCAAACATTCGAACAAACACCGACATACTCGTGTGTGTGTAACTCTAGCCCTCTCCTTAATGATGAGGTGTGGTATGCTCGCTAGCAAGCGTAGATCACTAAATATTAAGAGGCATCATGATGCATGAAAGACTACTGCTTTTCATCATTCATGATTACCTGAAGGAAACGTAAAAAAATAACAAGGTGGGGGGGAGGGGGGGGAATGAACGTAAAAGATGTTATGAAGCAACTAAGTACCGCAAACATGGAAACAATGTCCAAATAAAAAAATTGCACTGTGTTGGTTTCTAATGGAACCGGTATTCCTTCTACTTTGAACTCTTTTCTCATTTTCAGGCTTAATCGTTTATACTATCTTCACTTTTTTCCGTTCTCACTCACGATAAATGGGGACGGGGATCGACCCCCTTCCCTGGTTCCCTCTCGGATGGCGCGGTGGCGCACGCGCCGAGTCCTATTCCACCCGTGTAAACACCAAGGCGGTGTTGATCCCACCGAAGCCGAAGCTGTTGGAGATCACCGCCTCGCAGTCCTCCATCGGGACGGCAGAGGCGATCGCCTCAGCAGGAGGGGAGGGGGGTTCGCACCGCGGCAGCCACACCCCGCGCGCGAGTTGCGCCTCCTCCGTCAGGCAGGGCTCCCGGAGGTTGACGTTTGGCGGGGCGAGGCGGTGGTGGAGGGCGAGCAGGGCGATCCCGGCCTCGACGCTGCCGGCGGCCCCCAAAAGATGCCCCAACGCCCCTTTGGAGCTGCTCACGAGCAGCGGCGACGACGACGACCCCGGGCCCCCCCGCGCGGCGCCGAGAACGGCCGCGATGGCGTCGAGCTCGATCGCGTCCCCGATCGTCCCGGTCGCGTGCGCGTTGACGTAGCGAAT